AGTTGTGCAAGGCCTTAGCAGAAGCAGTACCTACGGCAGCAGACTCACAAGCACCTAGAGCAGAAGCCTCTACACCAGCATCGTGCGGTACACACGAGTAACAGTCGCCCTCATCACTAATAGAACCTGCATACATTGCATAGGTTCCAGCATATGATCTTGTCAAAGTCAAGAGCAAACACATCTACCCCCTTCATCGTAGCCCTGACTAGTTGGGGATTTCCTACTCATCTTCGTACTCGGTGCGCCAGGAGTCCTAGAGACAGCAGAAGCAACGATACCCAGCGTGTCCGATCTTCCCACAGACGAGTCTTGGGACCCGAGCGCCTGATGTACGGGCAACGGACACCACCCTCACACCGGGCAACCCACTCCTGAGGGGTGCGTGGCTTCTGCAGGCGTGGCTGCTGCTGCTGTCCACCCCACTGCCTCCACCGCCACAAGCTGCGCCACCAGTCGCATTCCCATAGCCTCCGCCCCTGCCAGCTCTACCTCAACCACCACCAGAGCCCCTCCGCCCACTCCACCGCCTCCACCACCCCTGCCACCTCCACTGCCGCCCCCACCACCTCCACCCCCGCCACCACCACCGCCTCCACCCCGACCACCACCACTGCCACCACCCCCGCCACAACCCCGCCTTTGACCCCCCTCCACCACTCTTACCCCCCTTCCCCTTGCCGTTGTGGTGCCTCGCAGTAGGAGAAGACGCAACACCGACCTCCTCAGCACAAAGCAAATCAACAGCAGCAGCAGTAGCAACGGAGGGCACGAGAAGGGAGGGACAACACCCTTCAAAGAGGGGGGATCGGGGAGTACCACGAGGGGCAGCTACAGTGACAGAACTGGTCGCGACCTCGAGGAGATGCTTCTCCAGCAGGTCAAGGGTGGTCTCGGTGGGGTCAAGGGCAAAGAAGTGATCCCTAATGGCGTTGAGGGAGTCAGGGGGGCGGGTAACGAGGTAGTTGAGAATGATGTACATCGGAGGCGGGTTAGTGGCAAGAAAGGCCGGCTTGAGAGCGGCACGGTAACGAACGTCACTAGAGTGAAGGTGGGTCTTGAGGTCAGCGACAGTCGAGAAATCCGACAACTCAGGAAAAAGGTACGGCGGCATGATACGGCCTAGGGCAGCAGTAGAGGAGGAGGAGTTACGGGCAACTACAGCGTCATAGAGTTCCTTCACCGTCTTAAGTGCGCGAATGGACTCGTTCCTCTAGCAGGAGGGCATTGCGGGCAGAAAGGCGGGCAGCAGCATCGTGGGTGAGCCTCTGAGTACGAAGGACACGCGTAGCTGACTCCTCTGGGGCAAGGCAAGAACCGGACGTGTGCTCTAACAGTAAAACGTTCTCCCTAGCCATGCTCTGCAAGTACAGCTGGAGATCCTCGAGCCGCGATCAAACCTAATCGGGCGCCCTTTCGCTTTGAAGGTAAGGACATTAAGTGTAGCCATAATGGGCAGTAATAGCAGCAGCAGCAGCAGAAGCAGCAGCAGCAGCAGCAGCAGCAGCAGCAGCAGCAGCAGCAGCAGCAGCAGCAGCAGCAGCAGCAGCAGCAGCAGCAGCAGCAGCAGCAGCAGCAGCAGCAGCAGCAGCAGCAGCAGCAGCAGCAGCAGCAGCAGCAGCAGCAGCAGCAGCAGCAGCAGCAGCAGCAGCAGCAGCAGCAGCAGCAGCAGAAGCAGCAGCAGCAGCAGCAGCAGCAGCAGCAGCAGCAGCAGCAGCAGCAGCAGCAGCAGCAGCAGCAGCAGCAGCAGCAGCAGCAGCAGCAGCAGCAGCAGCAGCAGCAGCAGCAGCAGCAGCAGCAGCAGCAGCAGCAGCAGCAGCAGCAGCAGAAGCAACAGTAACAGTAGCAGCAGCGGTAACAGCAGGTCGGCTCGGCTCGGCTGGGCGACACGGCTCGGGCGGCGCGGCGTGCCTCTGGCAGGGCTACGCGGCTCGGCAAGGAAGGGAGGCGCAGCGCGGGTGGTGACAGCAGCTTAGCAGCGGCTGCAGCATGTGCAGGGCGCAGGCAGTGCGCTGTTGCGGGGTGTGTTCAAGCAGGGCGCAGGCTGTGCGGGCCGTAAGGGCAGCGTGCGGGCGGCTCCAGCAGCGTGCGGGCGGCTCCAGCAGCGTGCGGGCAATGGGCAGGCAGGGCGCGCAGTATGAGAGCATGGCGCCGGCGGTGTAGGCAGCGCGCAGGCAGTTCACGGGCGGGGCGAGTAGCACGCGGGCAGCAGATGCAGCGCGCAGGCAGTGCAGGCAGCACGGGGGCAAGGCAGGTAGCGGGCGGGCAGCAGGCGCAGCGTGCAGGCAGAGCGTGCGTAGGCTTAGGGCAGCGCGTGTGTAGGCAGCGTAAGCAGGGCATTGTGCGGGTCGCGCGCTAGGCAGCAAACGGGCAGCTCGACGGGCAGGGCAGAGATTGAAACGGGCGCAGGCAGGGCAGCGTGAGGGACATTGTTCGGGCAGTTCGAAATGGGCACTTAGAAACGGGCAGTTCGGGCAGTTCGAAACTAGCGGTGGGGCCTAACGGAGCGGTCATACGGATGGACCCGCTCTGAATACTATGTCAGAAGTAGTACATACGAATAATTTAGTGGGAAAGGATGAGTACAAGTACTAGGAATGACCTAAAGTATTGTACCCCTTACAGCCTAGAGACATACAATGCAATTTGACAATTTTCTTTGGGTATCTGACAAATCCACATTTTTCATGCTTGTCTAACAAGAAAATCTGCATTGTCTTTCAAAGAAAAGTCTGAATAATCAGAGTTGGTACGCAATGAAGATCTAACAAATTAAACAGTACAAGTATGAAATTCGAGGCCCTGTTGTCTAACATACTCAGGCAAACAGCAGTACAGGGAACTGCTGCTGATGTCCCCGCAGCTGCACCTCATAGTATGGGCCTCGTGAAAAAAATCAGTGTTATATTTCTTTGAAGCTACAGATTGAGGTTGTGCCTGTGCCTTTGCCTGTGCCTGTGACTGAGGCTATTCCTGTAGCTGTGGCTGTAATTGGGGCTGAAACTCGGGCTGTGGCAGTCTCTCTGGCTGGGGTATCGGCCTTGTGAAATGCACTACAGATTGAAGTTGTGCCTCTGCCTGTACATGCTGTCTCTATGCCTTCGCCTGCTGTGGCTGTGCCTGTGTGTGTGCCTGTGCATATGCCTCCTGTTCCTGTGCCTGAACCTGCTATGCCTGTGCTTCTGCAGGCTGTACCTGTGCCTGTGCCTGTAGTGCTTGTGCCTGTGCCTGCTCTGCCTGTGCTTGAGTCTGTGCCTGCTGTGCCTGTGCCTGTGCATGTGCCTGTGGCTGCTGTGCTGCGCCTCTGCCTGCTCTGCATGTGCCTGTGCTTGCTGTGCTTCTGCCTGCTCTGCCTATGCATGAGGCTGTGTATGTCCCTGTGCCTGAGGTTGTCCTAGTGCCAAAGGCTGTCCCTGTGCCAGAGGCTGTCTCTCTACCAGAGGCTGTTCCTGCGCTAGAGGTTGTCCATGTGCCTGAGGCTGTCCCTGTGCCTGAGGCTGTCCCTATCCCTGAGGCTGAGGCTGTGGCTGTAGCTGTCGCTACAGTGGTTGTCATTGAGAAGCAGCTCTCTCCCTTGCATAATTGTCTTGCACCTTTCAATGCAGGCTTCCCGCTGGCTGAATCAGGCTGCACGGCAAGAGTAGGCTGCCAGGCTGGAGCAGGCTGCCTGGCAGCCGGAGCAAGCTGCCCGATGGCTGAAGCAGGCTGCACGGCTGGAGCAGGCTGCCCGGATGGAGCAGGCTGCGCGGCTGGAGCAGGCTACTCGACTAGAGCAGGCTGCACAGCTGGATTAGGCTGCCTGGCCGGAGCAGGCTGCCCCTCTTCGGCTGGAGCAGGCTGCCCGGCTACAGCAGACGGCCCGACTGGAGCAATCTGCCAGGCTGGAGCAGTCTGTCGGCATTCTCGTTGCCCGACGTCAACTCGGGCGCCACGGACTTAGAAAAAAGGCAAAATGTGGCATGGCCTTCATTTATTAGTAGATATAAAGACACACAGAGAAAAGAAATTGTTTAAAAACATGTATGAGAAGCAAAAAAATAAAACAACAATAACAATAAGACGATGGAGATAATCAAATACTAAAAACATAGCTCCACTTACTTCAGCGACATTGTTTAGTTCTCGAAGCACCAAGCATGCAGACTGCGTCAGTTTGAATACGATTACTCCGGAGCGTGTGCGCTGATTCGCCGATCCAATAGCGATGTCGGCGAATTTCACCTCGCCAAAATCTTCAAACCTCCAGGAATCAACAAACGCTACTACAGGTTCACATACAAAAAAAGCCCTAACAAAATATATGTAAGTATGTATATTTATAGGTATAAGATAAAAACCAAAGCCCTAATCAATGTTGATTTTGACTTCTCAGGCAACCCTAGCACCAGAAGCTTACGGGTCGCCTCATTAGTGTTGGCGACGGTCAGCACTTGCTCAAGTAGATGTCTGTGTCTCAGAGCCCCGTATCACGTACGTCTGAAGGAGCATCATTGCCATAATATACAAATTATACAATTATCTACAACAGGTCCAGCTATATTCTTCTCAACCAAAATAGAAGAAAACATAAAATAAAAGGATGAATATAACTTACTCAGGAAGGAGCAGAAAAACGAGATCCTCCTTCGAAATCCTCTCCAACACGCCTCTTATTTAGGACTCGTTGAGATCATCGAATGATGACTCATCGAGCCGCTTCCTCTTTTGTCCTTGGTCCATAGCTGCAACAATAAAAGAGAGATGTACAATGTTGTTTAGAGGAAAGGTGGCGATTATAGCAGGAAATGTGGTGGCTGAAGAACATGTGGCGGATGGTTTGGGAGTGGTAAGAGAAGTGGCAGGTGAAGTTGCGGCTATGACAGGTGAGGTGGTAGCTATGATAGGTGAGGTGGCAGCTAGGCAGGTGAGGTGGCGGCTGTGTAAGGTGAGGTGGCGCCTATGTAGAGTGAGTTGGCGGCTGTAGCAAAGAATGACAACTTGTTTGGAAAAAGAAAACGAATATGGGAGGAGGGGCGGCACATATGGCAGGAGGGGCAGCGGATGTGGTAGGAGGGGTGACAGATGTGGCAAAAGGGGCGGCACCAGTGGAAGGAGGAGCGGCGGATGTGGCGGGAGGGGCGGCGAATGCAGCAGGAGGGGTGGTGGTTGTGGCAGGAGGGGCGGCGGCTGTGGCAGAGGGGGCGGCGGCTGTGGCAGGGGGGGCGGCGGCTGTGGCAGGGGGGGCGGCGGCTGTGGCAGGGGGGGCGGCGGCTGTGGCAGGGGGGGCGGCGGCTGTGGCAGGGGGGGCGGCGGCTGTGGCAGGGGGGGCGGCGGCTGTGGCAGGAGGGGCGGCGGCTGTGGCAGGAGGGGCAGCGGCTGTGGCAGGAGGGGCGATGGTTGTGGCATATGGGGCGGCGACTCTGGCAGGAGGGGCGGCAGATGGGCCAGAAGGGGCGGCGGATGTGGCAGTAGGGACGACGGGTGTAGCAGAAGGGGTGGCGAAACGAAACAGAGAATGATCAGGAAAAACACAAGGTTCAAATGAATGACCAACGATTGTACATAAGGTACTGCAAAAATAATGAGCTAAAACCAAGATAGTACTCACCCAAATCATCTTAAATGGATCAGCAACAACCTTTATTGCCTCCTCCAGCGTCTGATATCTGACAAAGCCAACTCTTCTGAGATAAGGACAAGACAAATGAAAAAAACGAAGGCAAAAATACCCTTTATGACAACAGCAAACGACATATGTACAACCAAACCAACTCACGTTGGGCGTCCTCAATTGTTACAAACGATGTCCAAATCTTCAATCTCCCCGTACTGCTGAAAAACATCATGAAATTGTTCTTTAGAATGGAAGGCTTTGTTGGTGTAAGGGCCTAATAAACTCAAGCTATTAGGACTTAATCAAACTTAAAACCTCTCCTCGGGGTCACCTCCAAGGGTCCCTGGGTGCCTGGTACAAGACCAGCCCCTATCCTCGGGTCCGAGTTTGTAGAGAGAGGGATCAAGAAGGACTTAGTCAAAACAGCAAGAGTACCTTGAACGTCGCGCAGCGTGCCGTGCAGACCGTCGGTCGGATTAAGCTGAGAATTCGCTATATCGAAGCTCGCTCCAAGAGCTTTAAAATGAGCCAAGTTGCCTCGCGAAAAGTTCTGCCATTACTAAGTTCTGGCTCGGACAGCGTTTGCCTAGCGTTGGAGTGCTAGCATACTAGCGTTGACTCGGGTAGCATTCCGCCGTCGAATAGCGCAGAAACGAAATTCCAGCGAGGAAGGAATTCGCATGAATCAATTTGACTATATTCAGGTACAAACAGAGAAGGATTAAATAGTTCTAGCTAGCAAGGACCTTGGGAATCAACCTGGGAACAACCAGGGATGATCCCAAATAATTCCAAGCAACAGAACCAACCTGGCTGGACAAAATAGCAGGTGGTAGGTTGGTAAACAACCTCTGGTTCTGTTTTTCCAACCTGGGAAAACAACAACCAGGTTCAGGTTCTAAAAACAGAACCTGTTTTGTCTTTGCCTAACCAGCCAAATGCTGGTTCCGCTGGTTTCCCCTGGCCTTGTAGCATGCAGATACAGACAAACAACATCCAACCTTCACCTAAATTGTACCCCTATAGTGCCTTCCCTGCTACACTATAGTTAACCAAACAAAACAGTACAATTTCGAGTTGGATAGAACTGAATCTGCGCAATCAACTCAACCGAACTGCAAAGCTTCCATCTTGGGTTCCTTTGCGAGCTCGTCCTTTCTGCTTGCACTGTTCATAGCGCGTACAATGTTGTGCCGAAGCGCACATTGCGCGAGTACCTGCAAATGCATCAAGCGAAAATTGCGAAAGCAAACAAACACACGAACATTCCATTCACACCCAAATGCATTCGCACACGCATACTCGTACAAACAGACGGCAGGATGTCGTGCAATGTAAATTTGCACCCAACAGGCTTGCTATATAAACTCTATGCGTTGGCAGCTCGACTGGAGTTGTCTGTTGAAGACTAAGGACGGAGTCTATGAAGATTAGGTGCCGAAATAACTCAAAATCGTTGGTCTCAATTTTTTGGACAGAAACCGCGACTTCACAAGAAACGCCTTTGACTGAAATTGCAGCGTTAGAATTGTCTCAAATTCGAGTATGTTATAGCCCTTTACCAATGCTATTTTTCCCAATTTGAATCATGTCAAAAGGTGGAGTAAATCTCGAGTTATGATTTTCGGCGCACTAGGGGGTATGCTGCCACATAGAAACTTAACTCACTCACAATAGTTCTCACAAGTTCCACAAAAGATATACACAAGAGAGTTGGAGTGCACTAAACAGGTGGGAGGGGATGAGGAGGACGAGAGGGAAGGTCCCAAGGGAGTCCCCAACCAAGGAAACCCCATGCCACTCTCCATAGGCTATTATTCCCAATTTGAATCATGACAAAAGGTGGAGAAAATCTCGAGTTATGATTTTCGGCGCACTAGGGGGTATGCTGCCACATAGAAACTTAACTCACTCACAATTCTTCTCACAAGTTCCACAAAAGATACACACAAGAGAGTTGGAGTAGCACTAAACAGGTGGGAGGGGATGAGGAGGACGAGAGGGAAGGTCCCAAGAGAGTCCCCAACCAAGGAAACCCCATGCCACACAATTCCCCTCTCCATAGGCAACCCAACTTTCACATTTGTCACTTTCCCAACTCATGCCATCCACCTCAACCCACTTGGCCACACTTGCCAACCTGGTTTGGCTTCTCCCAACCACATGGCAGCATCTACAGTGATGGGACCGAATTTCCCAACCCCAAAAGTCTGTACCCCATATTGAGTCACTCCCACAACTTCCCAAAGTCGCCGCAACCAAAGTACAGAAAGCATACGAACTCCAATGTCAGTAGCTTTCTTGTTCTTGCTCCGATCGCGACGATTCTTGGCTCGTCGGAAAGCTCTTGAGCAGATGAATCACTTCAGATATCTGCTCAGGCCAAATAACATTCACACACACTCAGGAAATCCAAACCGCACAAAAAACACAAACTCTTGCACACGCTCACACCACGCATGCAACGCACGAACATATGATGGGAGGCAGACAGACGTGATTGCGAAAGATAGCATCACACAACATTGTCTGCCCAACTCGAGCAGGCTGCCCAGCTGTAGCAGGCTGCCCAGCAGTTAGAGCAGGCTGCTCGGTGGTTGAAGCAAGCTACACGGCTGGAGCAGGCTGCCCAGCTGGAGCAGGCTGCGCGGCTGGAGCAGGCTGCTCGGCCGGAACAGGCTGCCGCTGCCTGGCTGGAGCAGGCTGTCCGGCTGGAGCAGACGGCCCGAATGGAGCAATCTGCCACGCTGGAGCAGTCTGCCAGTAGTCTCGTTGCCCGACGTCAACTCGGGCCCCACAAAATTAGTAAGAATGCGAAAGGTGGCACGTTCTTGATTCATTGGTAAATATAAAGACGGAGAGAGAGAAAAATTTATTTACCAACAAGAATGAGAATTGCTGCGATCAGAGATTGATCGTAGGCCGGGATCTACCCAGGAAGGTTCGCACGCAGTGAGAATAGTTGGTGGGCCCTTGATCTCAATAGCAGAGTGAATGTAAATGCTTGAGATGATAAAAACATGCAAACAAGGTCATATAAATAAGAGTACAAGGGAATGCGAACAGACCTATCTAGCCATGTACTCTAAGGGGTACATTCCCTTATTCAAATTCACTCCCAACCGTGCGGCGCGTACAGTTTCGTAACTGTTCCCGCCAAAACCATCCTGCCTGCAGCTGCCCGATGCCGTCTGCTTCCGACGGTCCAGATGCGTTCCAACTGTCCGTCGCTTCGAGTCAATTCCAACCGTCTGACGGTTCGCGTTCATTCTCGTTACTGCGTGCTTCTCTTTGCTGCGGTGAGGAGTGCACAGTAATATCAAATATTACTATTCGTAACACCCCCCTTCACTCCTGACCGTAGCTCGACTTGACCTGCTTGACCACGCCGCTGAGTTTGGAGCAGTGCTGATACTGCTGGCGTGGCAGTCGCTTCGTGAGGAAGTCCGCTGCCATGTCACCCGTCGGGCAGTAGGTCAAGTTGACCTTGCCCTTGTCCACCTCGTCCTTCACAAAGAAGTACCGCAGCGCAATGTGCTTGGTGCGGTTGACAAAACCAGGTTTGTTCGCGATACGAATCGCGCTCTGGTTGTCGCAGTGAAGGCGGAAGCTCGGCGAAGTCGGAATTTTCGCCTCTCGCAGGAGTTCCTGCAGATAGAGGCCTTCGCGAACTGCTGCGGTTGCTGCGATAAATTCTGCTTCGGCGGATGACAGGGCAACCAATTCCTGCTTCTGTGAATTCCAGGAGATTGGTCCCGATGGCTCGAGTCGGAACAGGAAGCCGGTCCTGGACCGTCGATTGTCGGGGTCTGCTGCGTGATCGGCGTCCACGTAGCCGATGAGGTTGAAGGATGGAGTTGGTGCAGTTGAGTAGCACAGCCCAATCTTGGGCGTTGAAACGAAGAATTGAAGGGCGCGCTGCAGGTCTAGGTGATTCTCGGCTTTTGGTTTGCGTGAGTACTGCGCGAGCTGACTCGCAATGTAGGAGAGATCTGGCCTGCAGGTGACAGAGGCGAAGAGGAGGCATCCCAGCTGCTGCTGGTAAGTCTGAATCCCAGCAGGGGATAGGGCTTTGTTGTCAGGTTTGTGGTTCGGTCCGGGGGTTCGGTAGGGAGTTGAGAGAGGCGCAGGTGAAATGTTGAATCGCTTCCCTAACTCCTCTGCGTACTTAGCCGCTGAGAGGTGAATGGCCTCAGGTGCGTAGGAGATGTTGAGGCCCAGGAACTGCTTCACCTCGTAGTTGCACGTGATGTCGACGCGCCCCGCCAAGGCCTTCTCGAACTGCTCCAGAAGCTCATTGTTTGAGCCTGTGTAAAGCAGGTCGTCGACGTACACGGTGAGGAGAATGTATTCCCCGCGGAAGTCGCGGCGGTACATTCCTGGATCATGCGGCATCTGCTTGAACCCGATTTCAAGCAGGATGTTGTGCAGGTACTGCTGCCACAGCCTCGGAGCCTGCTTGATGCCGTAGAGAGACTTGCGCAGCTGACACACACGCGAATCCCCTTCGCCGTAGGTGTGTGGCTGCTCCACGTAGATCACGGCGTCCACTAACGCGTACAGGAACGCGTTCTTCACGTCGATTTGACGGAGTGGCAGGTGCCTTGCGGCTGCGATGGCGAGCAGGATGCGGACGGAGGTGTGGCGGCTGACTGGGGCAAATGTCTGGTCGAAGTCGATCCCATGCCTCTGGTCATAGCCGCGAACCACCCAGCGCGCCTTGAAGCGCTCGATCGTTCCATCCGCCGCGGTCTTCACGCGGAAGACCCACTTCCCCGAGAGAATTCTTGCGCCTTTGATTGCTGCGCGGTCGACGAGCACCCAGGTGTCGCGTGATTCCAGTGCCTTGATTTCCGCGTCCATCGCTTCGCGCCACTCCTTGCTGTGTGGTCCAGAGAGGGCCTC